TTGTATATTGTAATAAAGGATATAAATCTATTACTGCAACAGCTAAATCTTAAACATGATATGTATTTTTAAAACATGGAGCTATAATAGCATGGAAATCAATGAAATAAACAATAATTGTAACTTCATCCAACCATGCAGAAATTATTGCCTTACATGAAGCATCTTGAGAATGTATTTGGTTGCGATCAATAAATAAATTCATTCAAATAACTTGTGAATTTTCATATAATGATTCTCAAATTATCTTGCATAAAGATAATAGTGCTTGTATTGCACAGATGCAAGTTGGTTTCATTAAAGGCGATAGGACAAAGCATATTGATCTAAAGTATTTTAGTTATATCCATGATTTGATTACTGATCAAGCACTTATAATTAAGAAAATTGGATCTACAAACAACCTTGTTGATCTCTTCACCAAAGCTCTTCCATTGTATAATCATCATTGACTTACTTATAGTAGGGATATGCAGGGTCATAATACGTGAAGTCTTGCTTGAGAATGCTCCGAGCACTTGGATGTGGAAGGAAGAATGGAAATTGCAATAACAAAATCCTAATTCTAATATAATACTAACAATGCTCTAATTAGACCATAATAATGGTAAGTAAGCTTAATCAAATTCAAAGAAAAATCAAAGAAATTTCAAACAAACAATAAGAATTCTTAAAGAAATATTAGAAGGATCATAAATATCACTCAAATACATCTCAATTCAATCTTAATTTAATTCTAGTTAAAATCCTATTGAACTTCATTCAAAATTTAGGCCAAAACTAATTGAATCTTAAATCCTAATAAAATCTTAAATCCTAAATCAAACCCTTAACAAATCTTAAACCAAATCCCAACCAAATCCTAAATCAAATCCTAACCAAATCCTAACCAAATCCTAAACCCTAAACCAAACCCTAATCCAAACCTCAAACCAAACCCTAATCCAAACCCTAATCCAAACCTTAAATCAAATCTTAATCCAAATCCTAAATCCTAAATCCTAAATCAAACCCAAACCAAATTCTAAATCCTAAATAAAATCCTAATCAAATCCTAAATCAAATCTTAAACCCTAAATCAATCCCTAATCCAAATCCTAAATCCTAAACCAAACCCTAACCAAATCCTAAACCAAATCCTAGTAATTCCTATAACAGATTTAAATCTCAATAAATAATGAGTAAACCGTTGATCTTAACTCAAATTTTTCACACTTCTAAATAAATAAGTTAAAAACAAGTACAAAAAAATTGAAAAGGATCGGAGTTACCAAATTGACGATAACCTCAAAAATGTGCTCGGATATTGGTTGGCTTCCTTCTCCAATCTTGATGCCAATCTTCCAGAGCCAATATATCTCCTTTGCACCATTCGATTGATCTCAAAACTCTTATACATATAGAAAATAAAGTCTAATATCCTCTCATGTAAGTTTCACTCCAATCCAAGTAGTATATTGCAAGAAATCTTAAAAACTCCCACTGGACCTAAAATTCTACTTTCTGAGACCTTGACCCACTTAAACCTCAATATTCCTCAATTCAACTATTAGATTGAGCTCAAATTTACAACACATATTAAACACAAATCTAACCATAAACCCACAAAATTTCACCCATAGATCTATTACAAAACTCTTGAAATCATCCAAAATATAAACCCTGTTTTATTTCATAAAACCCAAGTCATCTGAAACAAACCTTGACTTTGCAAAGCTCTTATAAAGTAAGAACAACTCCAAATCATCCAAAATTAATACCTATAGAAACCATATCCAATCTTCTATCAAATCCCACTCTTTGATCTGCCAAAGAGTCCCAGAGTCCTTGTCGAGACTCAATTTTGTGCCTCAGGGTCTGATTTCGATCTTGGTTCATAACCGGCCCTCTTCAGGTATCAACATCTAGTTTTTTTTTAGTAATTTTTACTAAAATTTACTCTTAACTTCCTCCTTAAGATGTCTATATCATTTATTTTTACAATATACCTTATTTTGCCTTATTTTTGGCCCTACAAAGTAAGTAGAAACTATTTTTTCTAAGAAGGCAACATTACTACTAAAAGTTTTACTACCTTCCTATCTTTTATCCATATTTTTCTACCTTTTCTTTTAACTTGGCTCTTCTATAATAAGATACATATTATCATCTTTTACTATATAGTCATGTTACAACACTACAGTGGTGATTTGCTTTTCTTGAATAAGAAAATTAATGAGTTCTTTAAATAATTAAAAAAAATGATGTTGTATTCTTTTTCCTTCATCTATGGTTTTGTCCTTAAATATAATAAGATTTTCCTAAATAAGATTTTAATGAGGCAACAATTGTTGATCTTACAAGATCACAAAAAAATATAGATCATAATTCTATACAAATTTTATATTATGTAAATATTATGATAAGCGAGGAAGAATGTTAAGATCATTAAATGTAGCCGGCGCTCTCCATAATATTTACTATAGACTACAATAAATGCTATAGCTATAGTATTTAGAGTCTAGTGGAAAAGTACTATTTATCTTCTCCCATTTTTCTTCTTGTATACGAGACACAACCAAATCAATAGATTTTTATATATGAAGCCCTCTCTTCTTAGAAACCATCTTGTGTGTATGACTTACTACTACTCTTGTGTGTGTGTATTACTTACTATTATTCTTGTGTCTTTCTAAACATTCTCAACAATATTGATTTACTTTGTTCCATTATTATTACTTCATCTGGTCGTTTTAGGACAAGCCTTTGTATTTTTTATGACTCTAGAGCATGAAAACTGTTTATATGATTGATATTTCGTGTTTAGTTTATTGTGTATATTTCTCTTTTGTGGTACTTATGTGTCTCTAGGTTGTCAAATCAACTGTTTTGATATACATACCTATTTGATTACAGTGACTAGTTGTTGTAATTTAGGATAGTTTTGTTTTGGAACAAGCTAAGTTTGCAAAGTCATTGAACTTTCATTTAGAAATTTTTATGATTTTTTACATTATAAATGTTAATATTATATGTATACTTCTGTATATATATATATATATACATATTGCTTTTATTTTAGATTTATTCAAATCTGCAATATCTAAAATATTTTTTGATGTTTTCACAAAAAAAAGTTCAATAAATATATTTAAATACTAAAATATATAATGAATCTATTATTAGTTTTAAATATTATAACTTTTTTATCTTAAACAGAGAAATATTTTATAAAATAGATAGAAGAATAAATAATATAAACTTATCTTTATTTTTTATTAAACCAATCTTAAAAAATATCCCATTATTTTCTTTTCTTTTCTTGTTTAGATTATACCTCATGTGTTAATTTTTTTGAATAATAATTTATATACAATTATAATTTATTTTTATTTAATTTATTAAAAATATATTTTATATATCTTAATTTATTAAAAATAAGTTAAATATATTTAAATATCTATGACTAGAATTAGAATTTGGATTTAAACTCATTTGTTTTATTTTCATAAAATTATAAATAATCAGATTTTTTTTAATATATTATTTACTACAATAGAAAACAATACACTAATTACATTCCAAGAGGTATATACATTCTCTCAATTTGTGTTTATATCAAGTAGTTTATTTTTAAATACTTAAATTAGAAAGAAGAGTCAAAATTAGAGTCAAAATCATAATTTACTATGAATCAATTATCATAGTTTTAAAAAAGTAGTTCTAATTTATGAATAAGAATGACAAGGCATTTCTACTAGAAAGTGATAGAGTCTTATCATTAATATGTGATATCAATTCAAAATCTTAAAAGCTGTATAAAAGTAATTAGTTGAAGTACAATATAAAGACATGACCTGATATTTTTACAAGTTAGGCAAGAAGCAAAAATAACACCTAACAAAAAATAGCATGATCAATTTAACCATAAATATGAAAAACCATAAATTTATTTTAGTGTAATAGTTGCTTGACATCAAAATTATCTCTATCCTAAGAGAATTATTGAATGAACCAATGAAAAACTCACCATATTTGATGCATGATATTCTTTTGGTGCAAGAAAATGAATTTGTAATAGTATTTTGGTGCATAATTGAATTCATAACTTTCCTTGTCATCCATGTTAACAATAATGATATTCAATACAAATTTAATTGTTCTTCCATTCTTTTGTAGCTAAAGACATGGTCATGTGTTGATCTTCCTCAAACATAAAACATTCTCTTCTTCAAAGTTAGTACATGTGAGTGTTCATCTCTTTCGTATACTTGATGCTAAAGAATGGAGGCAAATCCGACAATGGAGCTCAGATTCCACAGCAATTCAAAAGAGTGCATGCTTTTTATTTGCCATGGAATTTGAGACCAACGCTTTTTAAGTCTCATAAAAAAGTAATTACATATATGCAATGGTGCACTGAAAGCCACCTCTCTGCTGCATGATAGCAAAGTGGGGGTCAGGTGCCGAAGTCTCATCCTATTGTGTGGTAATGAAGTTGTTTTATTATTATTATTATTATTATTACTACTACTACTACTACTAGTGGCTTCTGTGCACCAAGAGTGTCATTACTACTTATTTTTGGGCAGGACCTTCCGAGTACTAGAGGAATTGTATCTTGTAGTTCAGTGATATGTCTAATTTTTTCAATTAATGAAGTACACCGTGATGAACAAATTTTACTAGCTGCTTCTACTTGGTTTGATGGAGGTCATTCAACGCGGATTAGGAGTTGCAAAGGTTCTGCAGATATGAACATCAATTTCCTATGGTGGGCTCTTTCGAACAGTCAAGCTCTGCGACTGGTTCACACTCAATGCAGACAGTTTCGATTCTGTTTTACAAAGTTTTTGTGTGAAAGGGTGCATTGTACTCACACAGATTCTGAGTCATTGTGCATTCTAACAATGAGGACACAAGCAATATTAGAAACCACGCTTATCAAAAATAAAGATTCACATTCAGCTGAAACAAACTACTTCGAAATGCCCACACACAAGACTGAACAACACATTAGAGAAGAGTAGAATGATGAGAGTACCACTTATCTCAACTTATTATGAGGAATCATAAGAGGTGCGTACACACTGTATGCCTAACTTGTGTAACATATGCCCTCCTATTTCATTGAGCCAGCGATGCACAAGTGCATGTCACCAGCGTCTTCTCCCATGCGCCGTTGATTCGAAGTAGCGTAGAAGTTTTTGTTTATTATTATTATGACCAGGCGGGTCACTCCCACCACCCACGAATTGCTTGCATACTCTTGGTCATGGCTCAGGGGAGGCGGAACAGGCTACGAGGATTGAGAATCTGGTACAAAGTTCAGCCCAAGCCTCTTGCATCCGTTCTCTTCCTTCCTATCTCAAGGGGCAAAATCATCACGTGCACTAACTCTAGTGATCAAAATTGAAAGACCGCAAAACTGTGATGACAAGTTTTATTCAGGGCAAAATGAAAAGCAGGGGCAATGCTCCAATCACTGTGGAACTGAAACCGCCGTTGCTGGGCTTGTCAAACAGCGCATGAGCTTTGGCCAAGACGGAGCTCAAGGTCTAACATGTCCTCCTTGTCGCCGAGTACTTTGCTCCGGCACCGAGATCTCTCATACGGATGGTATGCGTTAGATCCGCGCGACGACATCGTCCAGAAGTTTTGTTGCGTCAAAGTTTCACAGACAATGTCGGGGATGCTTTGGAGTAGAGGTTTTGTGCCGATTTCGTGCGCCGTCTCAGTGGAGTTGGAGGATATTGATTCCTGGGAAGGAGGGGAAGTGGAGAGAGTGGAGGAGGAATTAAAAGTCGAGCCTGACATAGACAAGTCCAGGTGCGAGGAGCTCAACGAATTCTGAGAAAAGAGATTGCGGGTGATAGTGGGAGCACAGGGCTGCATTGGCGACAAACTGCGAGGAGACTTAGACACAGATTGAAGCCAGGAAAATTCTGTACTCTCAACTGAAGGATCGGAGATGTCTATCTTAGAGCGAGGGATATGAGACAGGGACGCAACGGAGGAGGCAATTCGAAGTTGCGCTAGCTGGTTGGCATGCTGGCGCTCTCTCCGGTGCACATTCATGTGCCCACCCAGAGCTTGGGCAGTGCGAAATTCTCTGTGACAAAAACTGCAGGAGTAGAATCTCGGAGGCCATTGGGCCCCGCTGATGCAGCTGGTATCTTCCGCAAACGCACGCACTTCCCACGAATCATTGTCCATCACGCTCGGGAGCCTCTTGTTCCATGTCTTATCCCCAACATAACACTGATTCGGGGCAACCCAACTCGACATGAAAGCAGGCCACAATGGTTCGGTCTGCTGCATGGTGCGGGTCGCCATTTCCTACCTCAATATTTGCTCGTGCACTCGGTCTGCTCTGTACGAATCGAGACAGTCTAACGCACAATTGGAAATGGTGATCAATCTTTCCCGAGCAAAATCTACACCAGAATGTGGGCCTCTCCTCCACTACTTACTTCCCCTAGTTGTGCTTTGATAGTCTCCTGTTTCTGAAGCTGGAATAATTGTATCACAAGCGTTGCATGTTCTGAGTGGGAGTTATCCTAAGTTCACGCATAGAAGAAGAGAATTTTGGGCCATCCACGTTTGGCACTCCAGAGAAGTGGGAGTTTTGTAGCCTTGTCTTCCCAAGTTTTCCACGGGCAGATGATAACAAGGAATTTACTGAAAACAGGAAGAGACAGACGAAATGTATTCCCGAAAGAGAATTGTATTGGCTTATAATAGGCGATTCTATGTCCCCTGAGCTGTGGAAAGAGGTGCGTGCAGACTTCCACCTATTGCAGACGCCCATGTTGGTTTATCACAACTTTCAAGAAATTTCCCCTCGGAACCTTGGAAGCACAGAATCCGGAGATCGGCGATATTCTATAATCCTGTAATGGACCTTAAGGACTTCTCACCTAAGCCATTGTGAAGATTAAAGAATCGTGCGACTACCTGAATAATAATCTTCTATCGCTTTGGCATGAGAGCCACAAGGCATACAAGTTTCAATGCTTCGTATGAAATTAAAATCTGAGACGTTAGACCTTTCTTGCAGGAATCGTATCACTGTGATTTAGACTTGATTTTAAATTTTGATTTTAAAGTTTGTCAAATATGCTGTACTGAGGGTTGTGTCCACATCGAAACTCTGTTCATTTTTAGTAAAGTAATTGTATGGCAATCCATGATTAGTGAGACTCCTGTGAACACTCCGGTTTTAAAGAATTTTGCTCTTGAATTAAGTAATCCACGGAAATCCCTCTTCGAAGCAACTTTTGATGAAATTTGAGCATCATAGAGTTAAGCTGATTCTCAAATGCACATAGAACAGTGCTTATCAAGCCATTGAAAATGCAAAATTCTGCAAGTTGATCGATGAATCAATACCAAATTGCAGTATAAACTACGAACGATCTCTAAAATGAAATACGTGAAACAATATTTGAAACAATATGTGAAGGCTGCACCAGGTAATGTTCCCTGCACCTATATACAACCTAAACAAGCGCTCGGAGCATGGTGAGTGAATCACACACGCCTCCTCCAATATTACAATAACGAAAAGAAAAACCCCCCGAAAACGTGGCGAATACAGCTCACGGGGCGCCAATAAAAAGCCCGCAATCCTGCTCCTTGTTCTCCGACACGAAAATAATTAAAAAAACAATCATCCACCGTCATCCTTTCACAGTGCATGGATCTGGCATGGGTGAAGAAATAGTAGTTCCCCCATCACACTCCCCCTAAATCCATATCTCTAAATGAAACCGCTCTGGTTGGGCAGTTGACGAGGGTATAACTGTGGATATTTTCAGTAACAAACGGTTTTGGTCGTTCCATCATCTTAAGACCCCAGCTTGCTTAATCGTGAGTTTGTGACTAATATTGCAAGATTTCAGTTGGAATCTCGAGTAATGATGCTGTCTATTTGTTGAAGGTTGCTGTAGCTAGCTGTTCACAATCATCGGTATCAGGAGGGCATCGCTGCGTGCTCCATGATATCGTACCCTCCCGGATTTCCATGACCCTAAGAGGGTTAGTGTGGACAACTCATATGCCACGTTGTTCACAACATTGTAATCCTGGTTGATGGTGACGAAAGGGTGACATCAAAGACCACGCCACATTTAGTTCGCCTCAAGTCGCTACTACTGGTTGACAGGGATACGTTTGCCTTGGCAAATCTTGCTCGAATCGAGTCACCATCTCCTCGATCATTGATTCTCATGTTCCGTCGAAGTCTTCCCTTCTCCTTTGCAACTCGTCGAACTCAAAAACTTTTTTTTAAAAGGGACGATCGGAACCACAAACTGGCGACTGACACCAGAAATCCTTAATCATTCCATGCGAAATAGAGAGGAGCTTCTGTCCGTGTCGCCTTTATTTGATATCCATCTTCAACTTCAAGTACTACAGGATCACCCTCCTGTCCCTTGCATCTGCGAGCTTCAAACGCTCGAAGATCCATTTCTTTTTTCCTGAAATAAACATTAAGCTTTACTCACATCAACTTGAGAAATGCTTGTGTTGCCAGAATGTGACCTGAATTTCCTGAAGCTTTACTTCCAGTAACAGTTCAACACTGCGAAGAACCTCAGTGGCTGATATGAGAGTACAACAGTAGAAGACAATCCCAAGTCTGAGCTTCAGAGATACTGCACGCACTGTCGCAATATCCTCCCTCAGAATACAGCATCCAGAAGCTGGGTCACTGTCGAGTAATAAAAGTTAAAAAATCGCGGCATCTACCACCAAGGTATACAATCACGTTTCAACTGGGGATAATCACGCGACCTGGAAACATTCGACAAGCCTCTACCCGGCTGACCGTGTCAATATAACACCGGTAGCGACTGACACCAGAAATCCTTAACCATTCCATGCGAAATAGAGAGGAGCTTCTGTCCGTGTCGCCTTTATTTGATATCCATCTTCAACTTCAAGTACTACAGGATCACCCTCCTGTCCCTTGCATCTGCGAGCTTCAAACGCTCGAAGATCCATTTCTTTTTTCCTGAAATAAACATTAAGCTTTACTCACATCAACTTGAGAAATGCTTGTGTTGCCAGAATGTGACCTGAATTTCCTGAAGCTTTACTTCCAGTAACAGTTCAACACTGCGAAGAACCTCAGTGGCTGATATGAGAGTACAACAGTAGAAGACAATCCCAAGTCTGAGCTTCAGAGATACTGCACGCACTGTCGCAATATCCTCCCTCAGAATACAGCATCCAGAAGCTGGGTCACTGTCGAGTAATAAAAGTTAAAAAATCGCGGCATCTACCACCAAGGTATACAATCACGTTTCAACTGGGGATAATCACGCGACCTGGAAACATTCGACAAGCCTCTACCCGGCTGACCGTGTCAATATAACACCGGTAGCGACTACCGAGGCAGCTCCTCATCCCTCCGTGTCCTGAGATGAGACGACATTTCAGATGAAATGCGAACCAGGTTCCCAGACCACGACTCAAGCCAGAGTTTCTCCAGAAGATGGGTGAGCTCCGCAGGACCACTTTGGCATCCGCCATTACCATTGCGTCCCCACAAATGGATAAATGCCGCTCTGTTGCACACAGGGAAGCAGGAGCACAGCTGTAGAGATGGTTCCTCAACGCTCAACACCATCAAACCTGCAATCTCAAACCATGGCATGAATCCAGCTGCCTCACTGCGGAGCATCTGCATGCATTCTCTGAGACACCTTTTCCTGTTGTGATGTGCACTATCTAGAGCCTCGAACTGTACGAATTTCGGCACCGAGGCAGGAATGTTTCAATCCTCACGTCGTGTCGTGATTCGGCAAGATCCAGCGGAGGCAGCACAAGAGGCACCTTGGCACCCCCACAAGACGCAAGAATGTGGATGTGCTGCAAATTGGACTGCATGCTCGCATGTACATAACGTGAATCTGATTTGTCTCAGCAATGAAATGGGATTCTTATTTTCATTCTATTCATGCTTTAATGTTTGATTATCACTAACCTTTGCCCTTTAATTTTTTTCATTTTTCAAATGAAATTGTGTACTTCATCGAATTAACATAAACTCGTAAAATAGTTATTTTTAGAATACCAGAAAATGATGTGTTTAGTTATCTAATATTCAGTTAAATGTAATATAATAAAATTTAAAAATAAAATTTTAATATTACATTATTAACTAAAAATTGATGTGTTTGAGCATCACTATTGTAAAATTAAACCATATACAATTAATCTTTTAAATATCTTTAAAATATTTATGGAACTCTTATAAAATTTAAGTCAAATGTTTTATCTACTAACAAATATAATAATTTAGTAGTTATATACAAATCTATAATGTACATTATACTCTAATACAGAACTGTGACTTAATAAGTATAGTTTTAACTTTAACTTCTTCATAATTTAAGACTTAATTTCTTGTATAATTTTTTATTTTAATTCATTAAAAAAAATTAACTAAAAAATATTAAAAAAATACCTAGGTTTAGGGTATATTACTTTATATATTGTATAATAAAAATTGTATTATAAAATTTAATCTTTAAAAATTAGATATTTAATTGTATCATTAAAGATGAAAACAATTATTTATTTACAATATATATACATATATATATATATATATATATATATATATATATTATTTGTGGTGTATAAAAACTTATTTTTATGTAAAAATAATTTTTTACTTAATTTCTTAATTTCTTAAGATTAAAATTTACTTTCTTTTAGTATGGCTTTTTCTAAGAAATACTTCTATAAAAAGATAATATTAATAATAATAATAATAATAATAATAATATCAAGTTATATGATTGTCTAAGAATTGAGTCCTTAATTTCTATGACAAGAAGTTACTAAATAGCATAAGTAGTGACTGTAATAGATATTGAGTTTTCTTAATCATCCTCAATCTTGGTGTAATAAGAAATTGAAAATAGTAGATATCAAACATTTGGCAAGAAATCAAGTAATATTTCTCAAAGCATGATACTTCAATTATACTTTATACTTTAATTTTTTCTTTGATACATCCATTATCAAATCCACTTATAAGATTAAAAGACTTTTACATTTTAAAAAATTATTAATCTTTATAAAAAAATAAATAATTTTATCTTTAATTAAGTCAATATTTATTATTAATTTTTCTTTCATAAAAGTATTTCAAATTAAATAATAATAATAATAATAATAATCATCTCATTTTATTTAAAGGTAGATTCGCGGCTGCAGCGATTGTGGATGGGTTGACATGATTCACTCTTGTCAATTCTTTTCTTGCTTTTAGTCTAGTTTACAATAGAAAAGTAACAAACATTAGGCTTCATAATTAATTTTTTCTATAAGCATAGTAATAATAACTAAATTTTTTGCTTAAAGTTTATTAAAAAGCTTGTATAGATTTGTAATTTTTATAAATCTATTTTTACTTCCACTAAGTGTAGCATTCATATATTTTTTTTCTTTCTAAATAATATATAATTAAATTTTAGAAAGATACTCTAAACTTCTAATATTAAATATATTGTTTTACAAAAAAATAGATCACTTTCAAAAATAAAAATAAAAATCAATATTAAAAAATATAAATATTATATTGAAGGTAGATAGTTTGTAACTTAAAAAAAAACAAAACAAAACAAAACAAAACAAAAAAGAAATCTTCAGATAATTAAAATAATCTACTAACTTTTTAAACTAAACAACTATAATAAGTTAGTAGTTTTGACAAATTGTCAAAGACAAAAATTGTAACAAAATCTTTAAAAAAAAATACATACACTTGTATCACTAAGAAAAAAAAAAAAGTAACAAATAAAAGATAGATATAAGATAAAAAGATACTAAAATAGTTATTTTTAATTATAAATAAATTTTAAAATCTTAAAACAAGATTATAATTTTAAAAAGACATTAGCAAGGCTAATATTGGTCTTGGACTTACTTCTATATATATTAGCTATTCAATAAGTCTTATAGAAGCTTTGTAGAAATTTCAAGATTTATAGCCTAAGAATCAAGTTATAGATTATTTCCAAAGCAATATCTTAAAAGTAGAAAACTTAAAGAACAAGTTTTAATAGTCACAAGAAATATGTATAGAAGTCTAAATATCCAATCTAAATTTAGAAAACTCCCTAAAATCTTTTAAAAAAAGATGCTATCTTTTCATCATGTTTTTATCTACTTTTATTTACTTCTATTTGTTTCTATTCATTTTAATAATATGGACATCTATTACACTACAACCTTAAAAGAGACTCTTGATGCATAGTGATACTATTGAAAGTATATATTATATTTGATTGTATTTGTAACATGTTATTTAAATTTAGTTTTAAAGGCTTTAATATTAATTAATTATTAGACTGATCTTATTCCCTAAATATGAGATAGTGATTATAGTTGAAAGGGCATATTTACAACTTTTATTTAAAATAAATATTATAATTTATAGCAAATATTATTATACATATGTTTGATTTCATTAATATAGAAATCAAATTAATTGTAATTTACAGATTTTTTTGTTAAACATAATGATAATATAATATGTTCTTATATAAATTTAAATAAATAGAAGTATGTAAAAATATATTAGATAAATATAATTTTACTTTAAATATATCATATTAATATCCTAAAAATATAATAGAGCTTTAGATTATTTTAGATATGTTAATTAATTATTAAAACTTA